AAAGTTCCCAGGTGTTCAGTATTTGTCTTGAGGGAATCTGTCTTTGCCCTCAAAATCTCCATCTGCTTACTTATTTAGTAAAATTTATTCTTCCAATTAGGTGTTTTGTGTGTTTTAGCACTGCTATTTGGCACATACCCCCGTTAGAGCCTCAGGATAAGAAGAGATAGTCCTCTGTTCCTCTGTCACAGCTGTTTCTTTCAATTGTTTCTCATAAGCATTTTTTAATAGTCTCTCCTGCCATTTGGTCTGAACGTTGGCTCATTGTTAGCACTCAACACAGATTGTGCTACTACCTAAACTTTTGGCCTTCCGTTGAAAAATGAGGGGGAAGAGAGAGGCTTTTCTTATTTCCTGTTGTTTCCTATGGCTGGAACAATCAAAACATTTCACATTTTGGTCTGATGAAACATTTCAGGGAGGCTGTTCTGCAAAATGCATTTGCCATTTTATGCACATTCCTGTCAACTGTGTATTTATGGTAGGTAGAGCAAACAAATTCAGAGGTACCAAGAAATAAAGTCAGTGCTTTGATTTCAAATTCCTTCAAACAGAGTGCTTTGGTCAGAGTTATTCAAAAATATTGAATAACTCAGTAGTAATATGCCAAGTTGATAAGAACTTAAGAAATTTTCCTCACCCTAGTCACACAAAACCAATAGCCCTAGTAACATTATGCAAAATACAGGGACAAGTGAAAGAAATAATAAGCAAAAGAAATTGAAAGCATGAAGTAAGATAAGAAAACAGCTAAACCTAATGTACCCCAACACCATTCAATATCTCTCTCCTTACCCTTATTTTCTTGCAAACTATCTTTGTTTCCATGTATGAATACACCATTTCATCCATTCCACACACACACACACACAAGTTAAACTTCTTTTTGAGGTCTATTTTGAGGTATTGTCTATTTCAGCAAACATATAATACACTTTTTCACATGGATGCATGTGAAACCTAAACCTACTGAAGCACAAAACTCTTCATTGACACTCCCTGCCTCGAAAAAAAACCTGCAATGCACTTCCCAGATTTGGTTCATTGTCATTTCTTGCACCCTTTCAATCACAATTTTGCCAAGCATTTTTCCAGGAATTCTTAAGTTAACCTCCATCATGTTTTCACATTCACTCTTGCCATATTTTCTTTTGCCTAGGGGAACAATAACATTTTTTCCTAGTCAGGCATAGATTGAATCTTGAGATATACACTAAATAAGTGATATAACCTCTCCTTAAATCATATCCATGTTTTAACCATTGTTCAGTTACAGTGCATTCTTACAGCACTACCTTTTTTTTCAACATCCTGAGAGCATTCATTCTTTTTCATATTTTCTTGAACACTAACTTTTATAGAATTTGTTTAAATTCTAACCTTCAATATCTTGCTAGAATTTCCACACAAATCTCTAAAATATTTGTTCCAGTATTCCCTCACTTTCATCCCAAATCATTTCATCATTTTTATTTTGAATTCCATTCACTCTCTCGAGGATTCCTTTTGGCCCTCTTCACCCATTTCCAAATCCATTATTTATTTCTATAAAAATTATTCTTTCTTCTCTTTAGTACACTAAAAAAAAAATACATTAAATTTTTTTTCTTTCTTCTCTTCACTATATTATTGCCTTTTAATAATGTCCTTTTTTAATGTACACTTTATATAGCATTATTCTCTTTCATTTTTACTGCGTCTATCTCTTGGATAATTATCTTCTGAATTTCCATGTTTCCTTTTTGAGAAAGGTTATTGAGGCATTGGTAGAAAATCAGCTATGTAATATCCTAGACTAGAGGAAGTAGATTATCTGAACCCTTTCAAACTGGGTTTATGGGACTGGTGTATCCAGTGGTGGGATTCAAATAATTTAACAACCAGTTCTCTGCCCTAATGACCAGCTGGGTGGGTGTGGCCATGGTGGGTGTGGCCAGGGGGTGTGACAGGTGGCACCTGGCCTCCTGCACCCCCCTGAGAGCAAAAATGGGCTCAGGGGGGTGCCACACCCTGTTTTGGGCCTAGTAGGCCTCCCTGCACTTACCTGGGAGCCAAAACAGGGACGTGGGGACTTACGGAAGAGGCGGGGAGGGGAGGGGCCAGCCAGCAATTTAACAACTGGTTCAGCCGAAGTGGTACGAACTGGCTGAATCCCACCATCAGATGACCTAAAATGACTGATTTTGAGACTGCATATGGGTAGCACACTTCTCCTTCTTCTTTTAAACTCTCAGCATCTTTTGATACCATTGATTATGGTCTTACTGGTGTGCCTGTGGAGGCCAGAGCCACTTTTTGCAATGGTTTTGCTCCTATCTTTGTAGATAGTTTCAGAAAGTTATAAGGAGGAGAGGTTAGTTCAGTAGCCCCTCGCTAATGGGATACCATTGGGTTGATTTTCACCTTCTTACTGTTTAACTTTTACATGGAACTGGTGAGGGAGATCATCTGACAATTCAGGGTAAAGTATCAGCTGCTGATATCCAACAATACACTGTTACCCTTGGGTATGCTGCTAATGTTCCATCCCATGGTCTGGAGGCCATGAGAGTCTAAACAGGAAATCTCATACTGACTCTAAACTAAACAGTTCTTAAGTGTGGATTCTCCTTTGGGGCCACTGTTGTTTTTGGATGGGCAGGCACTATCCATTCAGGAACAGGTTCATGATTTGCAGAGTCATGGACTTGTGTTTCCTGTTTGAACAACAGTGAAGGAGAACCTGGCAACTGTAATTCATATACTAAGGCAATGCACTTTATATGGGGCTGCCTTTAAAAGGTACCCAGAAAATACAGTTAGTCCAGAATACAAAGCATTGTCTCTTAACTGGTTCTTGAGAGTGGGTACATATAATGCTTATATTGTGGGACTAGTGCTGGTTACTGGTTCACTTCTGAATATAATTCAAAATACCATGTTTCCCCAAAAATAAGACCCCGTCTTATATTTTTTTGAACCCTGAAATAAGCACTTGGCCTTATTGCCATGCGCTCAAAAGCCCGATTGGGCTTATTATCAGGGGATGTCTTATTTTGGGAGAAACAGAGTACTGGTTTTAAACTAAAAAGCCTTCATGGAAGTTATAGAACCACCACCTTCTGCCAGATTCAGCCCAGTTTGTTAGATCATGTAGGGTGGAGCTCCTTGTTTTTCCACATTTCCAGGGTGTCAGAGGAGCTGAAGATAAAAGATGCTATTTCTCCGTAGCTAAATCTCTCAGAGTGCTTTCAGCTATGCAACATAGATAAGGTGGCTGCATGTGATAACCTTGTTATTGCTTTTGGGCTGTGTTCCCTCTTGAGCTATGAATATCTTCAACCAGTATCCTTAAATTCTGTTTCCAAATGATAGCAAAAACATCCTTCCAGTAACTTGCTCTGGGCAGATATTTTACCAGAACCAGGAGAGCAGATCAGGAACAAAAGAATCAGAGGCTAGCTTTATTTGAATGACTTCAGAATGACAAACTGTTCAGGAGTCTTTGTATTTGAGTTCATAAAATGGAATCTATAAAGTCTGCACTTGTGGGTCAAAGGCAATGATTTGTATTTGTAGTGGTATGTATGTGTATAGATGATGTTCTGTGTGCCGGCAAATTGCAGGCATCAGCATATGTTTATTTTCCTTGTAGCAGGATAACGTTAAAATGATAATCCATTTGTCAAGACTATATCACACAAAATGATTTTAGTGTGGACAGATATGGAGATCAATTATACCACCACCCAATTCTTTCATTTGAAATATCTCAATAGCACTTTAAATCTAGTGCACATTCTTCTCAGTTTGTTTTCACCTTTTGTGGATCCTGAATATATTAGGCATTTGCTGTTGGATGCAGGATCTGGAATTTGGAACTAAATTTGATACCCTGGACTTGGGTTTGAGAGAGAAAGAAAACTGTACGAGTAAACATAGCAAGGATAGGTGAAGTAATTTTTGCATGAATAAGAAGAATGGAAGTCATATTTTCAATCATAGGTGCACCAGTTCACCAGAAAACCTTCCTTTATGTCCTTTCTTCTGAGGTAAATGAATGTTTTTTACTTAAGAAAACCCATCGTGAGCTTAATGCCAGGGATGTGGCATGCCTGATGTGCACCTGAAATAGAATGCCACAACCTCTGGCTTAAATATGCTGTCATGTGTGACCCAGAAAAGCCAGAAATGTGAGAAGAAGAAAAAACCTGTTACTGTGAGATGGCTAGAATCCATACTATTTTGTTGTGTATAATGCAGTGATGCTAACTTTTGTATTAGTGCCATATAGTGGGTAGAGGTTAGTGCGGGTTCAGATCTACAATGTCCTCAAATCGCAGAGCTCCTAGATGCATTCCTTTCTGCACTGCAGTTTGTAAAGAGTGATGCCATCAGAACAGAATTTTGGGACAGTGGTCCAGAGGTCCAGTATCTTATTCAAGTAGATGACCTCTAACACATTCTGCACTGAACTGATGATTGCAGTTAAAGAACCCTTTATATCTTTATATTCAGAGCCAAACATTTACTGAGTTGTACTGGAGGTGAGAAGGCAAAGTTTTAATTTCAGTACAATTCACAACTTATTATAAATGAATCACATTTAATGATTTGTTAAGAGAAGTGGCAGAATTCAAGCCTACCCAAAGAAACTAAGTCTGTGCTATCTCGAGTTTTGTGAAACATGGCCATAAAAACATGCTTAAATTATTTTTTATTGTAGAGCTGATTATTGCCATTGGAAATTATTTCTGAGTTCTAACTGGGAATGTAGGCTCCAATCTGGGTCGGTCACTGGGACCAGATTAGATCCTACAACATTATCCTGGGACATATAAATTCACTTTCATTTGTAACTGGGAATAATCCAATCAAAAACTTTTAAGAAGCACCTTTCCACATGAGAATGAAACCTCAGTACATTGCATGCTGGAAATATGGGTGGATATCTGAGCTTTCCACACATACCTATAGGCAGAGAAGAGTTTTGTTTCATTTTGATTTTCTCTGAGCCAAAATATTTTCCATTGTGTTTATTCAAGCATTGATACTAAACCTAATCAATTGCTAATATTCTTTCTGCATATAATGGGGGTCGTAAGACAGCCTTTACTTCAAGGGGGAAATGGTTTGGTCTGCAAGTTATGCGTGCATTTATGTGTCTCTCTTTTCCTTTTCCTTTCCATATCCCTATCCATGGATCCATGATGGAGACAGATAAAGAGGGCAACATGGATGACAATCTGTGTAGTCATTTTGACATCTTTCACCTTATTATGGATGTCTTTGTTCCTGTCTTTCTTTTTATATAAAAGTGGCATGTTGCCTTTGTTAGTCAAAATGTGGATGCAGTTTTGATGGTAGTAATTTTTTTAATGTTTAAAAAGATGGCTGTATATCTGAGGATCTCTGCAAGCTCTTTGCAAATGGAACTACATCATTGGCTTGAACCTAGCAGGTTATTCTTTCTCCCAGTTGCCAGATGGGTCTTCTTTCTCCTTGGACATTTATACTGCATTTCCATCTGTAGAGAAATCTTGAATCCCAGCAGCTCTGAAAAGCAAAGCAATAAATCAGGATCTTGAGCAGCCTGTTTGGCAATGATAGGCCCACCCGACATTTCTTCAGGGTCTCAGCCATTTGTAGGAACGCTGGCAGATGATGATAAATAGCTCTGGGAGCCAATTATCCTCACCTCTGCAAGCAGCTTACCAGGCAATCATATCTTCCTCCCTTGGAGGCTACACCCAAGCTGGAGAGGAGAGTCTGAAGAGGTAGTGTAGCAGCTTTTCTACATCTTCAGTAGGGAAAATCTGATGGCCATCCATTTAAGTGCATTCTTTGGGGAATTCCATACACGCTAAATGCAATGTTGTGATGAATCAGATGTAATTTCAAATCCATCAATATTATTTTAACATTTGTAGGAACATGAAGCCGTTTATGAGTCATTGTCAGAGTTTCTAATTCTTTGGTCCATGTTTGATATATCCCCAAAGGATCTACTTTAAAAATCTTCTTGACCTTTTGATAAATATAAGTGCAGGTTTCACTTCTGTCATGGGTTTGATCAAATAGGAAAACATTCTAAGTGTCTTTGAAATAGCGAAGTGTCTGGTCCATATTGAGTCATTATGTTTCAGTTTTACTGTCACTGTTGTGAGCTTAGGAAGGACAAAGTCAGGAAGAATCCTTAAAATGATCATAATAATTGATCTTATGATGCACCAAGGCTTAAGGAGCCTTGGTGGTGCAGTGGCTAAAGTACAAAGTAAAGCTAGCTGCCTGCAATTACTGCAAGTTCAAATCTCACCAGGCTCAAGGTTGACTCAGCCTTCCATCCTTTCGAGGTAGGTAAAATGAGGACCCAGATTGTGGGGGCAATAAGATGACTTTGTGTAAAAAGAACACCGCTTAGGGGGGCTGAAAGCCCTACTAAGCAGGTATATACAAAAGTATGAAGGCTATTGCTTAACACATTGTAAGCCGCCTGAGTCTCAGGAGAAGGGCGGCATATAAATCGAACCAATAAATAAATAAATAAATAAATAAATAAATAAATAAATAAATAAATAAATAAATAAATAAATAAATAAATAAATAAACCCTACTTTCCATTAAAATATCTCACCATCTATTTTTAAAGTAAATTGTTTTCCAAAGATTTAAATATCCAAACAAGAATGTCAATTCTCTGACTAAAGAGAGCAGTTTAATTGTCCCCTTCTCAGTGATTCTGATGGATATTTCTTCACTGCTAACAACACAGAAGCAACTGTTAGGTCTCTACAGTCCAACAAATGGCTGATTAGCTGGGTAGTATAAAAAGTAGGAAAAGTGCCTTGGGATTATTTGGGACAGTCATGTGGAATATGAATTACTCTTTTTAGATACTAGATATATAAAATAAAGACCACCTAATGGCAGTTTGTTCATATAGAAAAACATCTTTGTGTGTGTATGTAGTTATTAAGTACCTGTTCTATTCCTGACCACTGGCATAGGTCTCATAATATGGTACTGGAGTGAAATAAAACCCTGAGTAAATTAGCTTTTGAGTTTGTTTGTTTATTTATTTAAACAATTTGTAGGGCCGCCCCTCTTGCTACTTTAATTTCTGGGCGGCTAACAAGAAATTAAAATCTGAAAACAAAACAACTCAAGTTAATTAAAAAAGAAATTGCAGTCACAATAAATCAATGAGTAAATGAGGTTCTTTTGTTGAAGATTTTATATGGGTAATATTAGAGGTCTAAATCTATTTGCAAATGCTTTCAAGCAAAAGTAGGGAGGCAAGATGCCAGATGTCTGATCTACAATCTCTGTCCTTCCTCCAATTTTGAAAGCTTTCTCTTAATCTTGGGCTGCATCATAAACAAATTGGCAAATGACTGTGACATGGAATGTTGTTTGAAATGTGTTAAAGATTATTAGAAATGAAGGGAAAAATCTGGTAACTACTGGTTGCTTGAATAAAACAATACCAGAGAACTAATATTATTCCCACTATTAAGGTTTTCAGGGATGATATACATAATGACTCTGAATCACAAAGGCAGTATTTTTTTTTCATGTTTATAGCTTACTTTATATTATTGAGTCATATATATGGGTTATATATGGGTTATATACAAACTATATATTAAAATCAAGAAATTCAGTTAGCTGCAGTTTTATGTCTGCAAGATGTCATGAATACAATCAAATCAGTTAAATAAGTCTCTGGCCCCTGATGGATTTTGTTTTGACCAGTATATTTTTCTAATTTTGGCCTCATGTTGCTGAAGGTCTACAAATATGCCTGCTTTGTTCAAGAAGCTTTTATACCTATAATTCTGAAGGCAGGAAAAGATATTATGAATTGTGCTAGTTTCCTTCCAATTTATTTCTTGAATATGCATGCAAAATTTTGAAAGCAACTTTGGCTCCAAGACAGTAAGATATATTTTTTTCAACAGTGAATCCTGCAGAGTGTTTTTTTTTTAAAATAAAAGATGGCAAGCATCAGGCAATAGCTGATAAATTGGATCTGGTGATGGTTGTCAGGAACTGAGAAAGCTTTAGACATGGTACAAATTAAATTTTTGGAATATATACTAGTTAAACCTAGTTTTTCTTTTTCTTTTTTAAATTGGATTAAAATGTGGTATTCAAAGCCATTAGCAAAGGTTTCCATAATTGAAACTATTTCCTTACCTAGAAGGTTGCAATATAAAACTTGTCAAGGATGTCTGATTTCTCCTTATTAAATTTAGTGATATTGTAACTAATCATTGGTTTGTTTTATTAGGCCATGTAAGGATATTTTAGGTGTCAGGGCTGCTGGAATGAAGAATAAATTATGCTTATACACTAACGATACTTTTATGTCTTGTTGATAATTACAATCTTTTAACACAAAGGATGGTTGTACAATATTTTGACAAAATTCCATTAACTGGAATAAAACTCATCACTTTCTTATTGGTTCTGAGGTTTTTATGGACATTGATAAACCACTCTGGATGAATTCGTTTAAACAGAAATTGTTATTATTCCTAGAAATATTTCTTTGTTGTTGGAAGTTAATATTTCCAGCCGTTTATGTCAGATTAAAAAATATATAAATTCATGAAAAAGTCTCCATTGAAAAATAGGAAGAATAAAGATTAAAAAGGACATTACTTTAAGGTTCATATGTATTCTTAGAGGGATTTCTATTTTAATATTTTGATAGGTATTGACAGGATATTGGGAAAGTTTTTATGAAATGATCAGACTCCTTGATTTTCCTAATCAAAATTACAGCTTTCATGTGAAGATGGAGAATTTGATTTTCCTGCTTTTTAATTATAGCATTTCTATTGCTTCCTGGAATTCAAGGGGTTTATTTCAAAACTCATTATCGGTTCAGTTACAATGCTATTATCTTGTCCCTTTAATATATTGCTAGAATCTAGTTTTAGTCATAATTCAGATGCATTTACTTCATTAAAAGCTGTAAGATATATTTGGGAAATGTACATATAATATACAATTGAGTGGACTTCCTCTAAGAAGTTGACAATATGGGATAATTCAGTCCTTCAGATTGTAGAATAAGCATTTTTCTGGAGTTCATGGACAAAACAATGCATGAAGACGTTTTTTTCCAAATTGCAATTTTGACTGCTTAATGGCAATATATTACATTACAATATCCCTTGATAACAATGTGGGTTTAATGCATTAAATGGGTTTGAAAATCCTAAAGTATTAACATCACTGGAAGAGATTCCTAGACATTTCATGACCTTAAGATGATATCAATTCAGCATTTTTAAAGGTATATGGGGCAGCTCATAGGTTGTACAGTAAAGGTTGGAGGATTGGAAGTTTAACTCCAATGATAATGCAGCATATCAGAGGGACTGCGACTCTTGTTTTCAATCTACTCTATATTGTCACAGGTTTTTTTTTTATTATTGACAGAGTTGTAAATAGTTTACTTGGAAAAAAAAGTAAGGGTCAAAGTATAAATGTGATGTTGAATTGTATTCTGAACATTTGTAACCTACTAAAGGCTACAAACAGAAGATTCTTCTACTCTGGTGGAAAGATTCTAATGACACCTATCTGAAATCCTGAAGGAAGACATACTTATATTTTATTTTATGAACAAATTTGCTATCAAAGTTGTGGAAAATTTGACCAGAATTATTTTATATGTTCTATACAGCCAAGGCTCAATATGTTGTTGAAGTTTTAAAACCATTGTATATTTAATTATTGAATAAGTAGAAGTATTTATTTTTTCTTCCTTTTTGTTTTTGTTTTGTTTTTCCATACTTCATGTTCTGCTTGGATTTTTGTAGAGGTGGTCCTAGTTTAACAACTACTTCTTCAGAAACCTTTCAAACTTGCAATGACACTGAACAATGAATGGTCCTTGAAGTTCCAGCTGTGGCAGTTCTCCCATGGTCATATGATTGCAATTTGAGCATCCAGCAACTAGCCTTGATTTCCCAAATGTTGCAGCATACCATGATCATGTGATTGTGATTTCTAACCTTCCCTGCTTGCTTCCCACAGGCAAACTCAATGGAGAATCTGGCAGGAAGTTGAAAGTTGTGATTAATTGAAGTCCTCATTTAATGACCTGTGGTGATTCAAACAATAACATTAGCCAAGGACTGATGGAACTGCTGTAAGTGGCATGATCATGTAATGTCATACTTTGCAACCATATTGCTTAGCGTTAGAAATTATAGCCCCAATTATAATCCCAATATAAATCCTTCCATTCCCCACTATCCTGTCAGAGCTGAAGAAGCTTCTGGGATGAGAAGCAAAACATATTCAAAGAAAAAACAAAGTCCAATTGCGTCCTGAAAAAGCACCTTTGGGACAACCATGACCTGGATGACTGAGAATCTCTACAGACATTTAGCTATGCAATTTGGGATAAACATCCTTTGAATGATGTGGGGGTAGGAACGATTTCCAGAGAAAAAAATTGCAGAGTTCAAAAACCAGGAGCACTACTCAGGTGACCCTGAGGACACAGATAAACCTCCAAGTGCTTCAACAACCCTCTAAAAGGAGGCAAATGACCAGCTGTCTGCAAGGAACATAAATCCTTCCATTCCCCACCATCCTGTCAGAGCTGAAGAAGCTTCTTGGATGAGAAGCAAAATGTCTTCCAAGAAAAAACAAGAAAGTCCAGTTGCTTCCTGAAAAAGCACCTTTGGGATACAGTCACAATTACTGCTAAGTGAGGGCTACCTTTTATTACTATATTTGGTTATTGTCTTCTGTGGTTTTTATATAATAAAAAGCAATGAAATAGATTTTAAAAGTAGAGGTAGACAAGTAAGGGCTTTTCTGGGCTGGAAAAATGTTCCTGGGAGTTAAAATTTTCTTCACCTTCTGTTACCTGACTGTTAACCATCACTCTATTGAATTTCAAGAAAAAACGACTTCAAATTCTTCATAATATCTCCTGTTCTTGGCTAGGGAAATCGGAAAGAAATCTAACAAGGCAGCATTACTGATTCAACTCATCCAGTTCTTTTACCAAGTTTCTATATTCCCCAAGAATAAAGATTCAACCACAAAAGATTTCAGGCTTGCATGTCCTATTAGATAACTATTCACAGAATTCTTTAATTCTTAATAATTTGTACCATGTTTAGTTTAGGTGTGTGACTTTAGAAATAAATAAATGAAAGGAAACTGGAAGAAAATTTACCTTGCAACTCTCAGTTAGACTGGAGAGGGGAACAAAATTTACCAAAGTCTTGAGAGGGGAGGACATTCTCGTAATATTAGGTGAGAACAGTGTTTCTTAACTATGATTCATAAAACATTGGAGGTCCTCAAAGATCTTTCATGTTTTCAGATGTATTCTTGCCCATCATGAACATTTTTAGTTTCCTGGATCCACCTTTTTCCTAGAAGATAGATAGATAGATAGATAGATAGATAGATAGATAGATAGATAGATAGTACATATACACTTTTATACAACAGTTTCAGTAAAGGATTACTGTATGGCTCCATCCATATTACAACTCCTAACCTCCCCAAAATAGCTCTAGCAATAATATAATATGCTATACTTGCCAGTGGATAGTTCTAGTACTGTCTTGCTTTCCCACCCTCCATCCCCGTTGCTTTTTCTAAGCTAGGAATGGGGGCTATAGAAGTCATTGGTGGAATTACCTAGAACTGCAGATTCTGTCAGTCTTTGTTAGGTTCACAACCAGAGACTTGGAGGTCTATGTTACAACAAGAAGGTTGCAGCCAGCAATTATTTCACCAACAAAGCATCTTCAGGCTCCCAATAAGAGAATGTATTTGATCAAGGAGCATATTGCATCAAGGAGACGATTATATTGAATAATACCCAGAAATGTGTGGTTCTATTAGCCTAATCTAGGTCAGGACCATAAATTGTCAGTACACAAAGCCTATAAAAAGTCTAATGTGTTATCAGTCTTAACAGCCACAGACAGCAAAAATTCCTACCAGTAAAATTCTTAAGCTGGATGTTTAGCTTGACTAATTGCAATTTACATGCTCTGAGGGGAGAAGCAGAAAAATCTTCAAGGTGCCTGAGGCCGGAAGGCTGTTCTTCTGTTATGAAAGAATACAGAGTAGTAGGATTATGTGTGTATTTATTATTGTATTTATATCTCACTTTTTCTCTAAAACTGAAGGAAGTACACATAGCGTTTTCCCATTTTATTTTCAAAATTTTCCTGTAAATTAGCCTGGGGAAGAGAGTGAGAATGTCCCCATTCATGGGTGAGTGATCTCTACTGTTCAATCCGATGCACATCTTATACCCTGCACGCCATTCTATGACATGGCTGAGCATAATTGAAATAAAATGAAATATATTACCTAAGAAGAACCACATCACTGAGAAGAAATGTAAAATTAAAATTATCAAGTACAGGTAGTCCTCAACTTACGACCACAAGCGAGTTCAAAATTTCTATTGCTAAGTGAGACATTTGTTAAGTGAGTTTTGCTCCATTTTATGACCTTACTTGACACAGTTGTTAAGTGAATCACTGCTGTAACCTGGTTGTTAAGTCAATCTGCCTTCCCCATTGATTTTTACTTGTCAAAAGGTGATCCCAGGGCACCGCAACATTGTAAACATGAGTCGCTTGCCAAGTTGTCTGAATTTTGATCACATGACCATGGGGATGCCGCAATGGTCGTAAGTGTGAAAAGCAGTCCTAAGTCACTTCTTTCCATGCCATTGTAACTTGAACAGTTACTAGAATGAACTCTTTTACATCAAGGACTATCTGTATATTGGTTATACCTACAGGTATTTTTTGACATAATGCTTCATCTAAATATTCAGGAACATCCTCCCCTCCTGCCCAAATCCTTTTCCCCCAAAGCAGATTTTTTTTCCAAATTTAAAGTAGTTTTCTCAAAATCGAAAGATCTGCTTTATCTGAAGTGAGGCTGAATCCAAATCAGATTATCACTGACTTTCCCCCAGGGTTGATTTTATTTATCTAACTATTTATCTGAGCTTCAGCTGGAGTCACCACATTTCCGGTTAAAACTGTTCTCCAACTTGCATTTTGGATTCTTGGTCCCATTTTTGGTCTGTTACAAGATTCCATGGTTCCATGTTTTCTATAGTACATATTAATGTATAAGGGCCTTCTTAGATCGCACAATTTGTTGGATCAATCTTTTTAAAAACTGTATAGTCCATAGTTGTAAGAAACCAAGAACAGGCATCAACTGTACCACATCAGCCTTTGCCAAAGGATAAAGTAGGAGAGAGACTAGCAAAGTATTGTTTTTTCATCTCAGCAGAAATATAAAAAAGCTTACATGTTTGTTCAGTTCTTAAGCCTATTTTGAAATGGGTGAACGGTAATAGATGTTTTCCAGTTTGACAGAATTTTAATACCTATGAAATTACATTTCTTCCAATATACCAACTACAAAATGAAATAAGACTCACTTTGTGATATGTTTGTACAATTGGCATTGTCCATACAGTATTGCTATGTGCAGCCTTGAAATTAGGTTGAGAGAGAAAATGCTGTAATCCTGAAGTGAGGACATCTCACTCACAGAAAGAAATGTTGATGTCTGATTTCATCCAATGCAAAGGTTGTATATATGGACATGCATACATAGTTCTATATATGCGCAGTCACTGTACATCCACAATGGCAGAAAAAAGCACTAAAAGTAATATGGAAGTTGATTGTAAAAAATTCACGATGAAAAATATTTATGAAAGAAATACCAAATGGGAATGGTTAAGATTTTTACCCCAATTTGATTTTTTTAATTTGCTCTTCTTACTGTTTTTGTAACTTTCCATGTTCAATTTCTACTAACAAAAAAGGAATATGAACATATATAAAATAAATTACTGCTATCTTGGGAAGAGAAATATTAAAAATTCTCAGTTAGTTATGCTGTCCTTGTTCAGGACCATGAGCATATTCTTTTGTATACCTCTGATCTAATGTCTCCATATGAAAATGGTACCTTCATCATTTTCATGTATTTCTTTCCCTGCTACGACTTTTAAGTTTGCATTCAATGCCAATAATTTTTGCCTTGGTTCCTTTTCTTGCTCAGTGCAATCAGTTCCTTATCCCGTATCCCCAGGTAGTTCTCAACTTATGACCATACTTAAACCCAAAGTTTATGTTGCTAAGTGAAAAATGTGTTAAAGTGTGTTTTGCTCCATTTTACAGCTTTTCTTGCCACATTTGTCAAGTGAATCACGGCAGTTGTTAAATTAGTAACACTGTTATTAAATTGTTCTGCCCCAGCTACAGACCCCAAAGAAGGCAGCACACACAAAGTCTGTACAAACCTTAGTTTACTAAATTAAATAAGCCTCCAAACAAAGGCTGTTAATTAACTTTCTTAACAGCCTACAAGAAGCCAAAGAATAAATAATCTTAATCTTACTAGAGTTGGCAGAAAGCCCAGAAGCAATTTGCAAAGAACTAAAATCAAGGCACAAAGGAGAGTGAACGAAGTTGTTCCCTGCAAATTGCTTCAGTCAGCGGTCCTCCTTAAATAGGCTAAGGGAGTGGCCAATTAGCCCCAAGCCTTACTTTCGAGGAGACCTCCTCCTGAGGAGCCACACCTGCCTTTTGGCAGCTCTGCGCGCCCGTGCATTGAGAAGAGACTCCTCCTCTTCGTCCTCTTCACTTAAGGGAGCTTCTGGAGCTTCTGAAGGCCCTGGCTGAATCCCCGCCTCTGACACCACATCTTCTCCAGCCTCATTGTCCGACTCAAGTGCCAGCTGCACAGGCTACTGGAGCAGCACCACATCAGCCTCCTCACTGTCCGAATCTGCCACCAGCCGCACAGGCCGCGTATGGGTCACAACATAAATGAATCTGATTTCCTCATTGACTTTGCTTGTCAGAAGGTTGCAAAAAGTGATCACATGACCCCGGGACACTGCAACCATCATAAATATGAGTCAGTTGTCAAACATCCGAATATAAATCATGTGATCATGGGGATGCTTCACTTGTGATAAATGTGAAAAACGGCCATGTCACTTTTTTCAGTGCCATTGTAACTTTGAACAGTCACTAAGCAAACTGTTGTAAGTCAAGGACTACCTGTACCCCAGGGGTGTCAAACTAGTGGCCCATGGGCTGGATGCATCATGCACAGGCCATGCCCACTCCAGCTCCTCGAATGGAAAAAATGTCACAAAACGTCACATGTCATCAATGTGACACAGCAAGTTTGACACCCGTACTATACCCATATAAAACTCCAATTTTCTATTCTCAGGGACCTAATATAGGGGCATTTCCTGTTTCTACTCTTCTCATTTGGATTTAAGGATTAGTAAAAGTTCTGTTCTTCTATTTTCTTAAAGTTGGTAGCACACAAGATTAATAATAATTAAGTATATTGTCATTATTTAAAGACTCCTCTTGTAGGTTAAGTTAGGATTCTAGAAGTTATATGGATTTTATTTAATAGGCACACTGGGTTATACTCTTTCCTGATTAAAAGTAATTGTTACATTTATTTCACATTTCTTTTCATTTTACCTGTGTTTTTGTGTCCTCTTTTTCTTTTAACGCAATGTCAATAATCTAGAAAGTAGTTGAAACTTTTTGATGGTTTGGTTCAACATGTCCAGTTAATGTGGGAGGAAGAACTGTTTTATTCTGTGTTTGTACCAGATTAATGACATCTATTGTTAATCTGACCTGATCACACACCTGATCACACAGATTGTCACAGCATGATTATTTGAAACAAAAGTCCATGTACAAATATGCCCTTATTAGTATCTGTTCGATGGGCATGCATGGGGATATTATTTTGGACGGACTATTCTAGGCTATTGTTCAATGTATACATAACCCTTGGAGATTCAATCATGATTCATCTTTGCTGGTACTGGAGAATTTACCTCAACATGTATGGTCTGCATGTTTTTTTATCTGTAACTATTTTTAAGAAAAGAATGCAAGCATCATCCTGTGACTCCCACAATTTTCAACTAGCATGACATTTAGCACTGGGAACATAGATGTCATTTGTAATAACACTTAGATCGCTGAAAACTTAAGTTTATTTGGACAATTTCTCTTTCTTTTTTTTTTTAAAAAAAATTAAATTAATTTTACAACAACATCACAACACAACATACAAAACACAAACACAGAATGTGTGTTTCCTTTTACGTATCAGTTTCATTCCTCTTACTTTCTACTTTTTACATTTCCCATTTCTCATCCTTTATTATCTTTATCGTCCCTTTATTTCCAGTTTTATTCATTTACAGTATTTTACACATTTGTCACATCATTTATTCACTTTTACTTTCCCTAATCTCGAGCCAATCGTACCACTTAGTCCATACTTAATAATATTCTGTATCTTCCTTTTCTTTTATTTCTTTCATTAATTTATCCATCTCCGCACAGTCCAGGATTTTCTTAATTGTTTCTTCTTCTGTTGGTACCTTTTCGTTTTTCCTTCCTGTGCAAGGACAATTTCTCTTTCTTGCTCTCTCAGATATTTTCATTAGTTTTGTTAAAACTGTATTAGTTTTGCTCGATATTCCTCAAATGGTTTTGGCTACCCATTCACATTTCCCTTGACTTGTGTTCTTTGTAACATTTTGATGGCAATGTTATGTTTAATTAACCCTCAATGGCAGCAATCTGTACTTTGCCTAAATTTCTAAATCATGAATTGTTCTTAATGCAGAGACAAGTTAATGAGAAATTTCTTTGCTAACCAATGTTGAATGTGAACTGAGAAAAACGTTCAGAATGGCCCTGGCAGGACTGCTTTGCTTTGAGAATTTTCCAGCATCCCTGAGTCTGGTCACTTTACTTAGCTGTAAGTTATTTCAAATATAAAAGTCTTCATGGAGAATGCAGATTGCAATTCCTTATGATAGCTAACCAAAATATTGCCAAGGAATAGAATGATTTTGAAGCAAATATTAATATATATATATAAATAGCAGTCAGTCCAATGACAGGTACAAAGAAGAATAGAGAAGCAACCAAGGGGAGAAGATAGAACATTCTCATTGCCATCCTGACTTGGTACTTTTATTGCCCTGTGTCTTTTTTGATTATAGTGGAAGTTGTGTGTGACAGAATGATTCCAAATCAACTTTCTCAATTGGGCATCCTCAATTGAGACTGGAAGTTCCCAGATTTCCAAACAACATGACTATTGTTTGTACTCTCTGAAGACTAAGTCACCAAACCTCTGGAGGTCATTCCGTTAGGGCTTTTGTAAACCATCACTGCATATAAAAATGAAGACTTAACCATCTAGGCCAAAAGTATCTAAAAATATTAAATCATGGCAACTGGACCAAAGTTTATTAAAACTGAAATGTTTCGTTAATCATCCAAGTAACTTCTTCAGTCAAAATGAATGAATCAATTATTCTCTCCCTACCCAAAATTTTCATTTTGACTGAAAAAGTTACTTGGATGAGTAACAAGATGTCTCTGTCTTAATAAACTTTGGTTCAGTTGCCACAAATTAACCTTTTTAGATACATCACTATCCCAATGAACAGAACATTAGTCATTTCAGTAAAGGAAAGCATAGTGGACAGAACTTGAAATACATTTTCTTGAAATCATTTTAGCTTCACTTCTGATTTCAAATCAAAGGAGAAAGTCTCATTATTGTCTTTATATTTAAAAAAACCTGGTTTTGCTACCCCCCACCCCATGTGCTTCTTAGATGGCCAAGACTCCTTTATAAGAAATAACCCACATATTCAAAGGGGTACCTTTAAGAAAAAGGGATGGGGAAGAAAAAAGAGAGCAAAACAAAATCATTCAAGGCCCATGGTTCAGTGGTGAAATCCTACCAGTTCGCACCGCTTCGGGTGAACCGGTAGTGATAAAATCTACCGGTTTGGCGAACCAGTAGTAAAAAAAAAGCCACCGATTGATCTGAACCAGTATTTCCAACAATCAGCTGTGCCGCACGATTTAGATTCCTTTAGGAAATCCTGATTTCTAGTGAATCTAAATCGCGCCACACAGCTGTTCCCGCCCCCTCGCTGTTCTACTTACCTTCAAACGGCTCCTTTTTCCATGCAGAAAAATGTTTGGTGTGCAGTGCACATGTGCATGCATGCAGCATGCGTTTGGTGTGCACTGTGCATGCACGCATGTGCAGCGTGCATCTGCTGCACACTGTGCATATGCAGGCAGCGACCTGGTGGCAACCGGTGAAGGATTTCATCACTGCCATGGTTCCCAGGAATATGGTGGCCAGAGAAGGAAAGACAGTCTGAACATAATAAGATATCATACAACTGACTCATTAAGAAGTCATTAGTCATTAGTCTTTGTCAAAGGCTGCTTTAATTAACAAACGCTAAGAACTGCAATCCTGACTTACTGTGCTGCTGCTGTGCAAAACATCTGAAGGCAATAATTAAATGCCGTTTAAATCTCCCCAAAAGCTGGCAAGGGGACTCAGCTACTGTGCCAACTTCTCCGGGCCACTCTAGGAACAACCTCATTTTTATGTTTTCCTGAGAGAAATGGGAAAGTGGGCCTGCTGCTTCCTGGGCAGGATGGAATGAAGAGCAAAAATAATATGTCCTTTTCCCCTTCAATAGCACAATCCCCAAACAACATCACTTACTTTTTAATTGGAGACTTTTCTCAGTAGGGACAATGTTAGAATTGTGCTGTAAGGCATGCAATTCAACTCTGAGCCAAATGCCTTCAACTAGGGCAGATAAATACTTTCTTCCTGGCCCACTTAGTGCAGCAACAGATGGCATTGTTCTCCTCCACTCCCAGCCTGTTGCAGAATACCCCTCACCCATGTTCTCCAGCTTTAATTCAAAACTACTGTAACTGTTCTCATTGGAGTTCTCTTATGACCTTGAAAGTGGACGGTCTCCAATGCTTCCTTTTGTCTTAGTAGCATCCCCAACTGTGATTTGGCAGCAGTATCTGGCACACTCCACCTCTCAATCAATGGTTATTGTTCTGTATAGCCATTTGGTCCTAGGTTGTTGGGCTTCTGTGCTAGCAAGAGTAGTGGGTCCTTGGTGCCCTCTGAGCTTGGCTGTTTTTCTGATTACTAGCAATGATGATGTTACCTAGTTTGGGTAATGAAACATCTGCAAATAAACAACCAAATTCAGAGAGCACCAAGGACCCTTAATTTCAACCAAGTATTACATGACCAATAAATTTTAAAAAACTAGCCGGCAAAGCTGATAACAAGATCTGGCAATAACTAAGAGCAGGAAACTTGAAGAAAGAGACAGAGTGGGTAATTCTGACTACACAATATCCAGCCTTAAGAATAAATGCATATAAAGCCAGAGTTGAGCAGGCAGCAACGAACCACAAATGCTTTCTGCAAAGAAGTTGAAGAAACAGTGGGCCACCTAGTTAGCTGCTGCAGGAAGATTGGTCAAAGTCATGACAAAATAGCAACAATTGTGCATTGGAATATCTGCAAGAAACACCATTTGCCTCCAAGAAAGAACTGGAGGGACACAAAAGAGACAAAGTAGTAGAAAATAAAAAAGCTAAAGTGCTTTGTGACTTTGAAATTCAAACAAACAATTGCCACATAACACTTAACAATTGTTAATTATCAATAAGAAAGACCAATAAGTCTGGCTAGTGGACATTGCAATGCCTGAAGTCAGCAGAAGAAAAGGAACAGAACTGGAGAAAACCACAAAATACAAAGACCTGTAAATAGAATAACTGTTGCAAAAGAAAGCAAAGATAATACCAATAGTAATGGGTATCTTGGGTGCAATTTGTAAATAATATTATTAAACAACAACATCTGTCTATCCAGGTCCTTCAGAAGGACTCAATAGGTAGATAAAAATACAAAATGCAGTCAAAACATCGAGGAGGAGGGGAAGGGGGAGGGGGGAGGGGGAGGAGGAGGAGGAGGAGGAGGACGAGGACGAGGAGGACGAGGAGGAGGAGAAGAAGAAGAAGAAAAAGAAGAAGGAGGAGGAGGAGGAGGAGGAGGAGAAGAAGGAGAAGATGATGATGATGATTCATAGAGAGAAAAGTGGGAAGAGAGATTATAGTCATTGTGCTTGAGTCATTATGAGATAGGCACCAAGAATTACTTTATGCATTCCTGTGCCATATCTCCTTAGATGGGAAAGAACAGGTAATGCTTTATGTTTCATGCAGATATTATGGCAGAGTGCCAGTGAACAAAACCTCTGTGACTGCTGCAGTGAGTATTCCTGGAAGGAATCAACAGCTGAATATTAGTTGCAGGGAAATAACTTAATTAGTAGATTCAACAGAGATTCTGATTAAATAAAATAGCAGCAGAAGTAGAGTGTGTTTGTTTTGTGGTTTTGCTCCAGTGACACAGAGCAGGGACAGCAGGCCTGATCTCAGCTCTGAAAGCACTTTGATAAGAGCCAGAAAAGAAAAGCTAATGGGATTAGTGAGGCTAATACTAGCTATAGTCCCAGCCAGGGATGATGTTTAATGAAGGATATGTTTGCCTAGGAAGGCAAGCAGGCAGTAGTTAACAGGCATAGGTCCAGGTTACTTGAGGGATCATCTCACCCACTGGGATTGGCCTGTCCTACTTGTGCTGGGAGAGAAGATATGCTGCAGGTCCCTTCAGCCCGATTATTCTGGCTGACGGGGTCCAAGAGGAGGGTTTTCTCTGCTGTTGCTCCTGCACCCTAATGTAAAGTTGGCACCAAGCCTCCTATACTTTTCTAAGGACCTAAAGACCTGGCTCTGCCATTTGGTCTGGGGCCCCAGTGGGGGAACAGCACAGTGGAGGTGGTTGATCGAGTACAACAGAGCCCAACTCCCTCTATTCTGCCCTCCCCCGACATGTCCTTGATTTTAATCTTTGGCTTTTAATTTATTCAGATTTTAATTATATGCATTTTTTATCTCTGTATGTCATCCAAAGTTACCTTATGGTAAGATGGGCAGCAAATAAATTTAGTAAATAAATAGATAGACAGACAGAAAGACAGATAAATAAATAAACAAAACAGACAGGAGAAGAGCAAGGCTGACAGACAGAATGTAGAAGCTTGTATGAGTGTGGGTGTGGGTGTGTATATACAGAGAGAGATAGAGTGAAATGTGTAGCCAAGCATCTCCAGGATTACAGCAGTTTATAGAGTATCCCAAATCATTCGAGTTTGAGTTATGGTAATAATAGGGATTGTCATGAAGGCTCATTGGCATCTTTTAACACACTGTCTGAAAAAATACCAGGGCCTGACTCCATTCGAAGCACAAGAGACTACTAAGTAAAAGCTTACAGCACTGGCTGGGAGACTAAGGAGATAATGTACACTAGAGAAGCAGAGGTCACCCAAGGTATATTCCCAACTGCAATGCAACAACACAGTAACAGCAGATATTTGAAAGCTGCTTTGGTCTAGTGATTAAGGCACCAGGCTAGAAACTGAGAGACTGTGAGTTTTAGTCCTGCCTTAGGCATGAAACTGGCTGAGTGACTTTGGGACAGTCACTTTTTCTCAGACCAATCCACCTCACAGAATTGCTGTTGTGGGGAAAATAGGAGGAGGAAGGTATGTTGGATATGTTCACTGCCTTGAGTTATTTGTAAAAATAATAAAGACAGGATATAAATAAACAAACACAACAGAAACTAAATAGAACAATATATGGGAGAAAGAGAAGACACATAATATCAGGGCAAAGTAGCTGCAGGCCCTGTGTGCAGACTACAGCAATCTCCCAGTCATAACAATAGTAGACATCCAATAGCAGGTCAAGAACATCAATAGCAGGACAGAGGTTGGCCTGGACATGATCCATACCTAACTGGTTAAAAAAAAACTAACAGCAGTGCAGGAACCCCTAGGACCACCGATAAACGAGCTGTTAGCAACAGGCTCCCACCCAGATTGGTTAACACAAGGACAATGCTGATCATAAAAGATCCCCGCAAGGGAATAGGGCCATTCAGTTACCAGCCAATAACCTGTCTCCCTACAACATCAAAAGTCCTATCAGGAATAGCCACCAAACTATAGAATCATATGGGTCAGTACATATGTACAACTCAGAAGAGCATTGAGAATAATACCAGAGGCTTAAAACACCAGTTGCTCATAGACAGAACAATCACCCAAAGACTTAAGCGCTAGACAGACCAATCTGAACACAGTCTGGATTGATTACAAGAAAGCCTACAATTCAATGCCAAACACATGGATCTATGAATAATAGGTTATTAAAGACCTTCCTCAAGAATTCAATGGGACTGTGGAAAGCAACACTGGAAGCCAATGCAAGGTAGCTCATACAAGTGGCCATCAAGTGCAGCACATAGCAAGATAATACACTGTCCCACTGTTTGGAAAGGATTGAACTCCCTCAGTCAGATAATCACAAAGACTGGGTATGGATCAGGGTGAAATCTAAAATTTGTTACTACCGGTTCTGTGGGTGTGGCTTGGTGGTGGTGGGGGTAATGTAACTGGGTGGGCGTGGCCAACTTTTTTTTTTAACTTTTAAAAGCATTTTTTCTACAGCCTCTTCAGCCGAAGAGGTTGTAGAAAAAATGCTTTTAAAAGCCTCTGATGATCCCAGCTGAGCCGTAGTGATCATCAGAGGCTTTTTTTAAAAACTTTTAAAAGCATTTTTTTAGCTGAAGAGGTTGTAGAAAAAATTGTTTTAAAAGTAAAAAAAAACAGCCTCTGATGATCGCGCGGCTCAGCTGGGCATGGGAATGGGGCACAGGGATTTTTGCTACCGGTTCTCCAAACCACCCGCCACCATTGCTACCGGATTGGGAGATGTGGTCCGAACTGGGAGCATTTCACCCCTGGTATGGATACAGCTTCAGGGGTAGAACTATCATCAACCTCTCTCCTATTCTCATGTTTGATGCATTAGGGGGTCTATGCCTAAGGACCAATTATTAAAGTAAGTACCAGCTGGGATCTGAACCCTGATCTCCCATATCAAAGATTGTGCTCAAACCACTATGCTATTTAACCACTTACAAAGTCCCACGTCTCTGGTAGAGGACCTGAGATTAATATTGAGGATTTGGTAGGGGTGAGAAGGAATGGTGTATGTGTGTGTGTGTGTGTGTGTGTATTTACATATTTGTATGTATGTGTATGTATGCATGTGTGTGTCTGTGTATACACATAGAAAGCCTTATTTACATAAGCATACTTTGGAATGTTTTTTTTTTTTTTTTGCTGTTTCAGGACTATCCCTCCACAAAATGTGTTAAACATAATTAATGTTCAATAAATGATATAATTTGCTATTCATTCCTCCCTTACACACATCCTGTACAGTTAAGTTAAGCATCTACCTTACTGTTCTTCAGGTAACCATTTGTCTCTCTGCAAGGTCAAGGAATCCTACAATCATGGTAACATATTTAATGAA